ATTCCTCATTTTCATGTACTATGCGTATATCAGTAATATGATTAAAGAGAATTTTTGGCACACTCTAGCCGATAAATAGGGGTACTAAACCGTATCCGTATCCGAGGAAATATCTGTAATCGTATCCATTAGGATATGGATATGGTTACTCAAATTCATAACCAATAGGATATGGTTACAGATATGGTTTTGTAATGAAATATCCAGATATGTATTCGAAATATCGGAAAACATATTAGTCATACTGTTACTATAGTTTTAATCCTCAAATTATGAATTTGAGGTTAATCCTTAGATTATGAATTTGAGGTTAATCCTTGGATTATGAATTTGAGGTTAATTTTGATGATCAAGATGTTTAATCTTAGCTTTTCAGATATAATGAACATATTAATGAACTCTTTTGTATCACATGAACTATATATTATTTTTTTCAATACTGTTTAGTTTTTCATATCCGTTTTGCATTCACATGCATACTAGCGTGCACCCCATGCAAATCACGGTCCCTGTTTTTTTTAAGCACTACATTTTGAACTTGTTTCCCGCTAAATTTTAATGCATTTGATTTGATTATTGTATGCTTAAAATGAGAAATTATATCTACTCCTCTATACTTAAAGAAGGATGCAGGTTTTAATACATTTTATGTAGAATTCATATTTACTCCTTTATACTTAAAAAATGATTTAAGTTTTAATATATTTGATTTAGAAATTATATCTATATTCAAAAAATGATCCAAATGTTAATACTGTAGCAAAAATGTTTTATGTTGCGCTACAGTTTTTACTTCAGCATGAACAGTGATTCTTTGGATCCTTCTATAAGTATAGAAGAGTAGATATGCTTTGGATCCTCCTATAAGTATAGAAGAGTAGATATGCTTATATATCCGCATGTATAGGTGTATCCATGTCCGATTTTAACAAATATGAATACAAAATTTTCCTTGCCGAGGTATATTCATCTCCGTATCCGAAATGAGTAAGTAGATATGAATATGGTAAGTATCATATCCGAACCGTATCCTAACTGAATGCATTGAGTATTTGAAAAACGTATATTTTCATGGTAACTTCGGATGTGAAAGAGTCTTCTGACATGCCAAATTAGACAGAATGTGAATGAATTTTAAAGGCAAATAAAATTCATACCCAATTCTGTAGGATAAGGATTAGACGATTCAAAGGCAAATAAAATAAGCATTAGACGTTTCAAATTTTGAATGTTTTTTCAAGGCGGATAAAATCCATACTCAGTTCAGTTGAATAAGCATTAGACGTTTCAATTGAGGATAAATGACGAAATCAATAGATTAGACCGAGACTTGCATCTGATTCCCAATCCAAAGTTACAAACCACTGCCATTTTCGTGCAATGTTGTTTACTTGGCATATGAATGAGAAATTAACAATACAAGAAAGGGATAACTGCATTTAGAAAACTATAAGTTCACACACACACACACATAATAAATACCAAGAATTTGTCTTCTAACAATGATTAACTTAATAAAGTTTAAAATAATACACTCTACCCCCTTCAGTCGAAATCTTAATGAAGGTTGAAACCACACCAAATGACAACTTGAAGGGAGCAATTTATTTTTTAACAAGTCCCTGCATCACAACTATCCAAATTCTTGGACATCCTGACTGAATCCACTGCAAGCAGGGGATTAGATTTTGTGGAGGCACAACAGCTTCATAAGACGTCGACTAATCTAAGAAGAGTTGCTCAGAACCCATTCCACCAGTGTCGATACCCCAAATCCTGTCGCTGATCGTTTCTTATCACTCCAAACTGGGCCGGCCATGTCTATGTGCAGCCACTGGACCTTCTCGTCGACAAACTGTAGTCAAAGAGCAACCTTTTAGTTTCACTAGCTAAGTGAAGATCCTTGTTTTGAAGATTATAAGACTGAATCTAAGCACGATAGGAACAAGCAAAAAAATCATATCTAGGATCATAGTCAAATTAATTAATTACAAAAGAAACAAATTTTTTGCAGCATAAGCTAATTCCAAACCACATTCTACTTTTAGATTCTATGGGAATTGTACATGTAATTTACATTCCATGTATTGCAGCTCATCATCACATCATTGCCTACTAGTTTTAGTTCGCAAGGATCATTTTCAATCAAGAGATCAGACACCAACCTCAACTAAGCAGTATTCTGTCTCTTTTTCCTTTTTTTCTCCCCTCCCCTTTACTTCTAAGGAAGCATTGTTCTGTTTATTCTTTACTTGATATGATTCTATAGATTTTTATTTCAAAAGGTTTCTTTTTTCGTACTCTGCTGAAGAAAAAATGAACTTGGTTCATGATAATTAGGGATGACCTAAGCAATTGCATGGGAAGGCGCACAAACCTAAAGGTTGAGAAAAAAACATTACAAATTAGAAACTTTTTATTCTAATAGCATGCCAGAATGCTTATTTTTATATTGTAAAACCATAATTTGCTTTCTGGAAGTTCCGTTCTTATCAAATCCTTGATAACGGCCCGTTCAATCCCTCAAATGAATGTTTTGTTAAAAGGTCAATTTGATCCTTCCCTTAAAGTACAACTTCTCAAAGGACAAATAGCCCAGAAACAGAAATTCTATAACAGCTGCAGAAAGGCCAGGCGTCTGGGCATCGATAAAAAGAAAATTTTTTAAAGTGAGGGATATGTAGTCTTGTAGATATATATATATATATATATATATTTTGTATCATGATGGTATACCACGTCTTACAAAAGCCAGTATAAAAAAAAGGATAGGATTTAGGATCTAATGTGAAAAAAAAACCAAAAAGAAGAATAATTTTTAATGCAGTATTAACTGCTTAAGAAAAGAATATTTGTTCATGGAAAAAACAACAGAATATTTTATCATGGATAGGTTTCATTTGAAGGCCAATCTTACTTCTAAAACTGTTTGTGATAAGAAAAGCAGTGTGGCAGAGGCATAGGTCCCAAGGTCTAAACACCAGAGTCATTATCATCATAAAAGTTAGCTGTTATTTATTTATTTATTTTTCAACCGGCTTTTCCTTATAGAAACAGTGAACTTTCTTTTGGCACATATGTCAGTAACACAAAACATGCTTTAAGGTAGATAAACAAATTCTAAGGCCTAAGTTCCAAAAACCAAATGGTCATAAGAAAGTCGAAGGTAAAATGTACAAGGAAATTTTAGTATGAACCTGTTTTAGGAAAAGTGCAGCAGTGATAGAACCACCCTGACGGGCTCCAGTGTTCACCATGTCAGCTACACCTGATTTCATCGTCTCCCAGTAGCTTTCCTCTAATGGCATCCTCCAAAACTTCTCACCAGAGACCTCTGAAGCTGCAACCACTTCCTTTGCTAAATCATCACTGGGTGTGAAAATCCCTGTCAAAGCGAAGGCAACGTCATGACATCAAACAATTGTTTCGAAGGAGACACCTTATTAGAGTATAAATCTACATCTCTCAACCCTTGTAACATCTTTGGGTGCAGCAAAAGGAATCTTAACATGATATTAGAGCAACCCGGATTCAAAGCCCACCAGTCACGAATTTAAAGTGGATAGTAAATAAAAGAAGATTTTGTTGGGTGAGTCCAGGTTCTAACCCATGAAAAGTGTGCTCAACCTGTGGAGGCCTGCCTATGAAATTATTAACTCTCAACCCTTGTCACAACATCAGAGTTTTGTGTAGTGGGAGAGGTCTTTAATACATCTCATGACATGTAGTTGTGATGGGAAAGTGATAATGGTTTGTTATCTGAATTCAAAAAGACTGGTCATTTAGTATTAGAATTCAACATAGATAAAGGAAACAAACTAGAAGTAGATGCTTCTACATAGCCATGGAGACAATTTGCCATGAGAATGTTATTTACCCACTTTTTTTTATTGCTAACTGAATATAGTAGTGCAAATTGAAAATGAGGATGACCGTAATGAAGAAACTTTTACCTGCAATACTGGACCCTAAGGCAACAACACAAGCACCAGTAAGTGTAGCCAGGTCAACCACCTGTTAACAAGAGATAGAAGTGTGTCAACAAAGACATGGGAAATGGAAAACGGAAATTAGGAAGCTTAAGGAGAAAACAGTTCTAGAACAAACCAACTGGAATATTTGGAATAATCCTTTTCACAATCCATTTTGATTGGTTAAAAAGAAAGTGACAAGAAATAAGAGTAAACGAAGTTTCCTTTTTTGGCTAACAAAAAGTTTAAGGAAAAAGAAAAAGGAAATATCAGGGAATAGTTCTGTTGATATATTAGTATTAGTTAGGGACTTATTTGTAAGCTGTGTAGGGGCCTATATAAAGCCCAAGAGATCTCATAATGAATTAGGGTTTTCATATTCTATATGGTATCAGAGCCGCGTGCCAAAACTAGCGCGGCCGTCACCCCGCTACCCCGCCCCTCTCTCTGCACCCGGCCGCCCACCCCTCACTGGACAACCCCCCCTCGCAGCCCACTGGGTATCCCGCAGACCGATGGATTGCATCCTCCCCGGCCACCGGACATAACCCCCCATCGCAGCGCGCCTGAATCATTGCAGCCCCCGACCGCGGAGCAACTCCCCCCCCCCGATCCATGCCTCGCCCAACCTCGTTGTCCCCTTCTTGTTTTCGCTGAGTCGAAACCGCCTCCCGCTTGGAAAGCACGCCGCCATGCAAACCCTCGCCCTCCTCTGTTTTTCGAGCCGAAAGCGGCACCGCCCCACCCCAATCTGTTGACGCCGCCGACGCACCCGCTCAGACCCGAATCGCGGCTCCCCCCAAACGCCTGCAGACCCGAATGCCCTCTGTTCACTCGCTGATCCCGCCTCCGGCCCAAACCCTCAGTACCCGAATCCCTCTGTTCACGCGCCGGAATCGCCCCTCCCCCAAACCCTCACGACCCGATCCCCCCCCTCAGACCTTTGCCGCCGCTTGCTGCGCTATGCTGGACCTCGAGTTTGGCATGGGTTCCCTTGACTCAGTCCTCGAACTGATGATAGGAAGAGTATATATCTCACATCGATGAGATATATAACTGGTTTTGGTTCTTGTTTCCTCTGAGAAACGAGAATTTGTTTGAGATCCTACTCTTGTTGTGCAGCAGAGGTGCTGCCGAAATTTTTACTGCACACAACAAGGGTCGGAAGAGAAGGTGAACAGGTGGTGGGTCTGAAGCCTATTCGATGGAGGAGATCATCAAGAAGTTGAACCCTGCGGAGGTGTCAACTTTGATGAAGCTAATGAAGTTGTCGGCTGGTGAGAGCGCGACAAAACCATCGAAGAAGTTGGAGCTTCCGACCATCGATCTGAAGCTGGATGGACCTAGTACGTACCTGAGCTGGTCACGACGGGTGAGATATACCCTTGCAGGGAGGAATCTGGAGGGTTATCTGACAGGAGAGGTGACAGAACCAGAGAAGGACTCAGAGGGAAGAGATGAGTGGAAGTCCACTCATATGTTGGTGTACATCTGGCTTCTCAACTCGTTGGTCCCGACGATCGCCGCCACGGTGGATGGCATTGAGAAGGTGAAGGACGTCTGGGAGAAGTTGAGGAGGACATATGATGGAGTGGGGAATAACATGCGGGTATTCCAGATCAAAGGAGAGATCGACGCCACAGTCCAGGGAGAGAGGACTGTACAGGAATATGCTACAAAGCTGGAGCGCCTGTGGCTGGACTATGATCATTTTTCTCCCGGGGCTAGCTGCAAGGACCCGGGATGTAAAGAGCGGGAGGCCTTTCTACAAGAGATGACTATGGTGTTTCTTAAAGGATTGACATCAGAATTCGCTCAGCGAATCACACTGCTGCTAGCTCAGCCGAAGATTCCCACGCTTGAGGAGGCTGTCTCTGCTATGATTCAGGAGGAAACTCGCATTCGGCTGCAGGCGGGGACAGGTGGACTTCCTGTGGTGAAGTCAGCAATGGCAGCCTCTAGCAACACTGGCTCTAAGGGAGAGACCCGACAGTGTTACAACTGCGGTGCGGTGGGTCATCTAAGGCATGCTTGCACCAAGCCATCCAAGGAAGGAGATTCGGGTGGACGTGGACAGTTCGGAGGCCGTGGTCGTGGTCGTGGAGGTCGACGAGGTGGAAGAGGAGCAGGGAATCGAGCGAATCTGACGGTAGCAGAAGAAGAAGAAGCTGAGGTGATCTTTACTGAGGAAGACAGTGCTCTCCTGGCGATACTAAGGAAGAAACAACAAGTAGCAGGGGATGGAGACTTGAGGAGTGGGACTGAGGAGGCATCCACTTCGTTCTTCGCCAGAGGCAATACTGCTACATATGCTCATCCGACCAAAGGTACTGATGATATACATGCTCTTGCTTCTATGTCTCCCAACAGATCATCAGAATGGATAGTCGACTCCGGCGCGTCTCGACATATGACAGGTAATGCTAGTGAGTTCTCATCATATACTCACTTAGCATCACATGATAGTATTCAAACAGCTGATGGTACATTTCAACCGGTGGTTGGTAAGGGTACAGTCGATTGTACTGGTTCTGTAACTTTGTCCAATGTATTGCATGCTCCTTCATTTCCAGTCAATCTTTTGTCCATTAGTTCTATCATCCTCCAACTAAAATACATTGTTTCTTTTGATATTCCCAAGGTGATTTTTCAGGAGAAGGGGACAGGACGGAGACTTGGGACTGGCACATGACGTAGTGGACTGTGGTATCTGGATCGTGAAGGGCTGGATTCAGCATTGGTGTCAGTCGTAGAGGAAGCAGGAGTAGGATCTAATATGAGTACTGAGAATGAGTTAATGCTTCATCACCAGCGTTTGGGACACTCATCATTTAGTGTTTTAGGTAGATTGTATCCTTCTTTATTTGAGAAAGCAAATAAACAGAAACTTGTGTGTGATGCATGTGAGTTTGGAAAGCTTACTAGAAGCTCTTATGTTAGTTCAGGTCAAAGAAGTTCTCGTGTATTTGACTTGGTACATTCAGATGTTTGGGGGCCTTGTTCCACAAGTTCTATGAATGGATACAAGTATTTTGTTACATTTATTGATTGTTTCTCTCGTGTGACTTGGTTATACTTGATGAAGAATAAGAGTGAAGTGTTTGGGTACTTTCAAAACTTTCATAGGAATGTTCAGACTCAATACGGAGCAGTGGTGAAGATATTGAGGTCGAATAATGGGACAGAGTATACCAACAGAGCGTTTGAAGAATATTTGTCAGCTCAGGGAATACATCACCAGACGACTTGTCCATATACACCAGCTCAGAATGGGGTAGCGAAAAGGAAGAACAGACATCTTTTAGAGGTTGCTAGAAGCATGATGATCTCTATGAATATCCCAGAAATATTATAGGGGCAAGCAGTGTTGACCGCAGCAGCGCTGATCAACAGAATGCCCTCGAGAATGCTGGATTGGAAGTCTCCGTGTGAGACATTAAAGGGAGATAATGGTGGGATTCTTCCACTTAAAGTGTTTGGCTGTGTGTGCTTTGTGAAGGACAACAGGCCATCTGTCGGGAAACTTGCCCCTAGAGCTGTGAAGTGCATCTTTGTAGGATATTCTGCTACTCAGAAGGGATATGTTTGCTGGAGCCCGGTGGAGAAAAGGTTGTTTGTGAGCATGTACGTGCACTTCCGAGAACTCGAGCCATATTACACCTGAAAGGTAACTTCATCCGTTGGTAACTCGCCTAATACTGGAAGTATGAGGCGAGAGGAGGAGAATGGTGAGAGAATGGAGAAATCAATGTCTGAGAATGGTAAGAGATCAGAAAAATCAATATCTGTAACGATTCCTTGGGAAGGAGACTTGGTTGAGGAGGAGCAAGAGAATGAAGAAGAAGAGGAGAATGAGACAAGAGGTGTTAGACCAACGGTTCAGGGGGAACTACTTACCTATAGTAGGAAGGGGAAACAAATTACGGAAACAGTATCTACAGTGCCACTGGTGCCAAGTCCCTTGCCAACGCCTGCCCCGATTCCTGAGACACCTACACCACCACCAGATTCCTCTCAAGGTGATTCTATTCCTCTTCCTACTCATCTCACACCAATAACCGTACGGAGGACTACTCGCAGTAATGCGGGAAATCCTCCCGATAGATATGGTTGGGATCTTCCTCAGTTTGTATCATATTCTAACATCCACCCTGTACATGGAGCATTCATTACATCTCTGGACTCTGTTACTATACCTAACAATTGGCAGGTTGCAAAGAAGGACCAGAAATGAAAAGCTGCTATGCACGAAGAGCTAAGGGCCCTTGAGAAGAACCGTACTTGGGAGTTAGTAAAACTACCAAAAGGGAAGAGAGCAGTTGGATGCAAGTGGGTCTTCACTGTGAAGCAGAATCCAGATGGACAGGTTGAACGCTACAAAGCACGTCTGGTATCCAGATGGACAGGTTGAACGCTACAAAGCACGTTTGGTGGCAAAAGGATATAGTCAGACATATGACACTACGATGAGACTTTTGCACCGGTGGCAAAGATGAGCACTGTTCGGACCTTAATCTCTCTGACAGTAAATGGTGGATGGAAGCTACACCAACTAGATGTGAAGAACGCATTCCTTCATGAAGATCTAGTAGAGGAAGTATACATGGAGATACCACCAGGATTCGGTACAGATCAGACAGTGGGAAAGGTCTGCAGATTG